AGTGGGGGTTTTTTTACAAGAGAGAATTATTTAATTTTGCAAAAAAAGACATTAACAGAAGACTACAGAATGCACTGGTGACCTCTTTCCTATTGTTTAATTCAGTAGATCTACAGCAAGCGTGTTTTTTAATTTCATCCCTTCCCTTCCCCAAATCCCCTCCAGATTTCTGGGTTGCCAGAATGGGAATGCTCCTTTTTGCAGTTGGGAGTAGGTGGTTAGAGGTTGAAAGTGAAACAGTGGATCATATTTATGCCATCATTTGTCACAAAGGGCAGGTAACCTTATTAATAGTAACTTCCATTTTTCACTATTTCCCCTTTGCCTTAAAACTGACTTTACACAACCCTGTCATTCATTACTGGTTACTGCTTCCTAGGCACCAATATAAATTTCCTGCCTTTTATTTTTTTCAGAGTGACTTATCTTACATTCATCTTGAGGTGGTCAACCAGGCCTATTTGCCTCTAACTGAAGCCTTAAAAAGGGATCAAGTGGGAAAGAGAAGAAGAAAGGGAGAAGGCTGTTGTGATAATTTAGAATAGAATAGAATAGAATAGAATAGAATAGAATAGAATAGAATAGAATAGAAGGGACCTTGGAGGTCTTCTAGTCCAGCCCCCGGCTCAAGCAGGAGAACCTATACCAGAGGTAGGCAACCTTGGCTCTTTTATGACTCGTGGACTCAGGAATTCTGGGCGTTGAAGTCCACGAGTCATAAAAGAGCCAAGGTTGCCTACCCCTGACCTATACTGTCTCAGACAGGTGAATGTCTAATCTCATCTTTAAAATCTCCAGTGATGGAGCGCCCATGATTTCTGGGAGTAAGCTGTTCCACTGGTTGAGTGCCCTCACTCTATTTACTAACAGAAGGAAGAGGGTGTTGTGATAATTTACTAATAGAACCATTACAGGTTTTGTCCTTTCCTGTAACTGATGTTGCTATATATGGGGAAAGGAAAGATTTATCTATCTCTTATTTTTGTGCTATTTTTCAGCTGTAGCACCAGGATAATTTACAACAACAAAAAGAATACACATATACCAAAGAAAAAATATATAGTATAAATAATAATAAATATTACAAGTAATATATATTATAACAGGAATAATAGCTACTTGAGGAACCATCTCATCCTGATGAGACTGGTCCACCTTGCCCACTCCGGTAGAGAGGGCACACTGCGGATCCTGTCAGTCAAGGAATTTCGGATGGCCAGGTCCAGGAGAAGAGCCTTCTCTGCCCTTTGAAATACCTTACTCCCTGAGGTGAGATTGGCTTCCACCCTCCTGATTTTTCGTAAGAGCCTTAAGACCAGATGGCTTGAGGACCCAAAGGGGAAGATTCATACTGAAGGTTGTTGGCTAATTAAAACCTAATCCCATCCTTGCTCCCCGTGTGTCCGGCTCCCTCCTTTGCTATCTGATGTTAATGATTTTATCTATTGTGTTATTTTATAATTGATGATTTTAATGCTTTTTAATGCTTTTATGTTGTAAGCTGCCCAGAGCCATTGGATACGAGATAGGTGGAAAATTTCATAACAAATAAATAAAAAATAAATAAAAACAGAAGCAACCAATGGAATTAAGATGGCATAAAAGCACCTCTGCATAGCGTAAGAGGAAGAATGGGAAGGACACAGGTGAAGTCCTCTGGGGAAGCATTCCTTAGCTAGGATTATGAGAAAACCTGCTCCCTGAACATCTGTCTCTTTCCATTTATAGATGCACCCAAATGTTGCTGAAACTATAGCTGATAAACAAACCTTCTGCCATTTTGGGCTTGGAGTAAGGGAAAGAAATCACCCCATGATTATAGATTGATCCCACAAATGATGTTGTCGGCACTGCTGTTGATAAATTTTGTACAAATGTGCATAGCATTAAATGAACCGGCACCATTAACTTACTTGCTAGGAAGTGGGCAGCATTACCTGAAACATTATGTAAGATTTTATTCAGACAGAATCAAGATTATAGACACAGATAGTAAAAACACACAGCGTAAGGAATGAATTAGATACTGAAGAAGAAGACTTAGAAAAGCAAAAGGAGAAAACAAAGAATTCCTGAGAATTAACACTGAAGGTGAATTGAGAAGATAAGGAGGATAAAGAAAGAATTGTAGACAATTACCTTCAAGACAATTCTGGAAAAAAGGCAGGGCAAGGAGAAGACTTGCCATCTTTTGAAGGAACCCATTGTACAAGGTCAAAACTCATAAGGACATAGGCTCTTTTGTACTGGCATTGGTCCATCAAGAGAGAGGTAACCTTTATTGTCATTTTTTTTTACTGTGGGCACAATGGCACACATTAAAAATGAAATTTAGTTGCTTGCTCTCAAAGTGTACACATACATAACACACATTTAAAAACATACTATATACAACATATGTATAGACCTACACTCTTACATATAAGTAACATTATAAATATTAATCACTGTCCATCTTGAATACATAACGGAAGGAAGAAGATTTAGACTTCACAAAGTTAACACTGTATGGAACAAAACTGTAACTGAATCTGGATATTCTGCTTCGGATACCACAGAGCCTCCTCCCAGAAGGTAACAAGGAAAACAGGTTGTGAAGAGGATGTGTAGTGTCCTGGACAATCTTACGGACCCTGCTCAAGCAACGCTTATGTGCTATGTCCTGGATGGAAGGGTGGGAAGTGCCAATGATCTTTTCAGCTATCCTCACCACTCTCTTCACCGCCTTCCTGTCTGAAGCAGTGATGCTTCTAAACCAGACTGTGATGCTGTATGACAGGATGCTCTCGATTGTCCCTCTGTAGAAAGTGCTAAGGACAGGGGAAGGAAGATGTGGTTTTCTCATGCAATGGAGAAAATGTAGGCACTGCTGTGCCCGCTTCACCAGTGTCTCGCTGTTGAGCGACCAAGCCAGCCTACTCGTTAATTGCACACCCAGGAATTTGATGCTGGTAACCATCTCCACAGGTGAATCATTAATGCACAGGTAGCTGTGCCTGCCTTTTCTGAAATCGACAATGATCTCTTTTGTTTTTCCAGTATTTAAAACTAGGCTGTTTTCCTTACACCAGTTCACCAAACTCAACCTCCTTGCAGTAAGCATCCTCATTGTCATCATGAATAAGGCCCACTACTGTTGTATCATCTGTGAACTTCATAATATGGTTGGTGGCAAACCTAGCACAACAGTCATGGGTCTACAGGGTGAACAGCAGCGGAGTTAGGCCGCAGCCCCGAGGAGAACCTGTGTTCAAGAAAATGATGTTAGAAATATTTGTTCCAACTCGCACATACTGAGACCTGTTAGTAGGAAAATCAAGAATCCAGTTGCACAAAGGAATGTTTAAGCCTAAAAGGCCCAGTTTGTCTACTAGATGCTGAGGAATGATTGTGTTAAATGCCAAACTGAAGAGCAACTGCAGCAGGTCTCCAAGTTTTCAGGTTAGAATTTTGCTACTCTTATTTGAGGATGCCAGGGATTCTTGACCTCTGCCCCTCCCCCATCTCATGTAACCATCAGCTTATCTTGTTCTATGCCATCTTTTTCTCCCAGGTCACAGTCTGTAATCAAGGCCACAATAAATGTATGCAGGGAGCAGATAAACTGAATCACAGATCAGAATTGAAGATGATTCATCTTAGCATAGGTTTCCTTGATTTGGCCTAAATGACATGTGAGTAGGGAGATGTGGATTGCAGTACTGCCAACTTATCCTCTTCACATAAAAGGCTGCTAAGGGGAAATGGTGATTTATATTTGGATCAGGAAATTGAATGAGGGAAAGGGTTTAATCCTTTATTCTAAAGCTATGCCCACCCCATCTCTATCCAATTTGCTGTTAGTTATAGAAAAGGAAAGACATTCCAAATGGCTACCTCTCTGTCTTTCTCTGTCTTCCATAATAGTCCCAATAGATTTGGGAAGTGGATGATTTGAATTAGGATACCAATATGTGAGAAGAGGATTAATCCTTTTCCATTTCTTTTAAACAAAGAAAAAGGATGCTAGAAGATCCTATTCCCCTTTTCCCATATGCTGTCCCGTCTGATCCTTGGCCTACCTGGCAAAATTATCATGTTGCTTTTAAGCATTCAGTTCTTATCTAACAGAAAGGCTGACCTGTTGGTAAAGATCAGTTAATTCAATGGTTCCAAATCAACATTTATTGCCCTTAATGAATAGTAAGGCATTAACATAGGTGCTGCTGTATCCTACTGATCTGTGTACTATAACAAAATAAAACCAGAGATGTCTGCCGTTGCTAAAACGAGCTTATTCCAGAAAAGTAAATGAAACTGATAGAATGGGTGATAAATGTTTTGGGTTTTTTTTTTTAATGGAAAAGGTGATTGCCAATATAGATTGGTGAACCAATGCCAGTAAAATGTGTTCCTTTTATTCTGGGGTCCAATGCAAAAACCTCTTTCCCCCCCCCCCCTCTCTCTCTCTGTGTGTATGTACTGTATGTATGTATGTATGTAGAGCATGTTTTTTCTGTCTGTTTGATCCTGCTTTCAGCCTGCTCTTAACCATTAATAATTCACATTTGTGAGTCCAAATAAAGTTGTGCTAAATCTCTGAAGGGCTGGGAATATTTTGCATAAGAAGAAAGGATCAAAAGGAGAGAAGGTACAGAACGAAATAATCTGGCGTGTTCTCCAAAGGTTTCCTGATTTCAGGTGAAGTCTACCAAGAGCCATAGTCCAGTCTCACAACAGTTAAGCAACAAAAGCTTAACTCTTTTTACTTTATGAAAGTTACATTGACTTGGGACTGAGTCCCTATACCTTGATCTAACTGGAGGGCAGGACTTTATTTACATTGGTATTATGGTGGTATTTATATTACCCATGTGATTTTACGGGAGAATTTCTGAATCGGACACAACTGTGCATCTACGTATTAATCAAATATTTGACATTGCAAAAAGGAAAAGAAACTCTGTTTTATTTTTCTGTCTCTTCTCTCTTTCTCTCTGTCTGTCTCTTTGTTCTCACAGGGTGAAACATCTCAGTTTTCTTGGGCAGCACTCCATGGTAAATTCAGGTCTCTCCTCACAGCAGAACCCAGGGAAGATTTGTGACAGATGGGGCGAAGTCGCAAACTTGCAGCCGAAAGCAAAACGGGGGGAGGGGGGGACTTTCCAGTGTGTGTGTCCATATTTACCTGATCCGAGCAAAAGAGGAAAAGATGCAGAGGAAGCTCAACCTGGCTACTTGTCATAGCTGACACAGAGCCATCTGCCACAAACCTGTGGCAGCTTCAGATCTCCGATCCCTGCCACCACTCCGGCTCAAATTAAATGCAGATTCCCAGAGACGTTACGATGGTTACACATGTCCTCGGCATCACAGGCAGGAGACTGAAAAAATAAATGTGGCCTGTTGTATAACTCTGCTCATGTATCCCATATGTGGTGCCACATTGAATTTCCGGTGGAATTTGTTTGTATCCTTTGTACTGGATGACACGGAGCCTGTGTGCTTTCTCTTGGCCGACGTGATGGCAGCCAAGATTGCAACTTCAAACATTTGCTGCTCGGCCAGCTTTCTACCTAGACTGCCAGGTTATCCTTGCAGCCTCGTTGTGTCCTCCAAGGGCCACACGGTCTCGAAGGAGGACCGGTGCTCCCTGTCCAACCCACCCACCCTGACTAATTGGGCAGATCTCTAGGAATTATGGCGAGGCGGAGGCTGCTTTTTTTTTGCACTTCTTCCCACCATCTCTTCCTCCTCTTCTCCCCCTTCCTCCTTTTGCAAATTAATGACTCCATGGCACTGGTGCTTTTAAGTGGAGGTATTAATAAGGGGGTCTGGCAGGTGATCCATGATTCCCAGAGTTGCATTTGCATTTAATTAATCTTAAAGAAAGCTGGAAGATAAACAGCTGTAATTCAAACTAGCATGGGAAATATGCTATATGGTGCCATCTATCCAATGAAATGAAAGGTTGGAGACTTGCTTTATTTCCTGTCAAGGCCGGTGAACAGGCAGACATCAGAATTGTTCCATGGGGGCAGAATTCAAGGATTTGTGTGCTTCCCCCCCCTCCTATTTTGTTATTAAGTAGAAGGGATGGGAATGAGAAATTTGTACTTCCACAAATGGGAGCTTTTCATTATAAATTGATTGTACTTCTAACAATGATGGAGCAACTGCATTTGTTGATGTTAGATGCTCCAAAATTTCAAATGTGCTATATCTATTTTTTTAATAAAGTACCCCTTGATGTTTTTACTTAGCATATTCCATTCAGGTATAGATACATGCATTTATCAGTATATTTCAGAAGGTCACAAAAGGCAATCACATGAGCCCGGGACTGCAACCATCATAAAAACAGGCCAATTATAAAGCATCCAAATTTTGATCACGTGACCAGGAGAACCAGTCATAAGTGTGAAAAATGGTCATAAGTCATTTCAGTGCTGTTAAACAGTTACTAAACAAATGGTTCCAAGTTAAGGACTACCTGTATTGTATTTCTATCTTAAACCTCAGTTACTGACCTGCATTTAGTCTGTGGCTAAATATAAAAGTTATAGGTATCAGATACACTAAAGTTGTGAGCATTCCTGGATTATGTATGGTAATGTAAACTGTTTAAAAGATTATCCATCTTGTTAGAGGTGTTGTATCAAACCAGGTACCTTGTCTTCTGTTTGCTTCTTTTTCAGTCTTTTTTTAAAAAAAAATTCCAAGTATTTGTGCCTTCTCCAATAACGCTTATCTTTATAGCATGTGTCCAAAATTTTTAAGCTTTAACTACATTGTCAGTGTTGTTCTTTCACCTTTAGTGAGATTCCGTCTGCCCATCAATGTAGTGTCTGAGGTTGTTCAAGTTTCGCGCGGCAATATTAATTTTTATTTCTATTTCTTCATCTAGCATTTTTCATAATACATTCTGTTTAAGCCAAATAAGTAAGAGGATGATATAAACCCTTAGTGTGCTCCTTCAGGCCAAATTAAATATGATGAAATTCTCTTGCTTTTCCCAATTTTCTGTCGGAATTTAGCAATGTAATCTGCAGTGCCCCAGAATGCAGCTTGAACATCTGGTAGTTCTCATTGCAGATACTGCTGAAGTTTGGAATGCAGGATACTTCCAGTCTCAGTACTTAAGTAATTCTGAACATACTCTAGTAGAAGATGAGCCAAACTGTTTATTCTCTTGCCTATTTAAGAAGTAATAATAATAATTGAGAAGACAGCATTAGAAAGCAAATGTCCCCTCTGCAAACACCCTGAAGAAACTGGGTCACTTACTGCTGAAGAAAATCATTAGAAAGACCTGCAAAGAGAAGCAGAACAACTGTGGCAAAAGAAAGCAAAGATAGTACCAATACTAATAGGGGCCTTGGGTGCAATCCCAAACTGTCTGGAGCCCCACTTGAACACTATTGGCCATTGGCAATGTCTCCATCAGTCAATTGCAGAAGGCAGCTTTACTTGGAATGGCTTACATCCTGCAACAATACCTTTAATACCATCAAACATCAACATCTACTTGCAACTGTGATGGGCAGGCTTCATTATGTTTATAAGTTAACGACTACCTGTAATAATAGGCATCTTGGCTGCAATCCCCAAACATCTGATTTATTTCGAACCTCTTACATCCTGTGATGATCCCATTAATACCATCAAACAATAACATCTGTCTTTCCCAGGTCCTTGGGAAAGACTTGACAGATGGATAAAAATGCCAAAACCAGTCTAAACATCTGGCTGACTGTGTGGCCAACCACAATAATTTACTGATTGTATTTATGGACCATTTTGAAATAAGGGACATCTTGCAGGATCAAAGCATGTACAAGAATATTGTGATTAGTACAATAATTGTGATACAGTGAGTAAAATAGAAACCAGTGAATATGAAAACCAGTGAATAAAATAGAACAATCATATATATTGAAGAAGCTGCCATAATCGTTAAAATATTTCGGACATGTGATGCAACACCCCAAAAAATACGGCATACTCCATTTAATCTTCCAGGGAAAGATTGAAGGCAAACGAGGTCCAGGCAGAAGAAGAACATCATGGCTTCAAAATCTATGGGACTGGTTTGGACAAAACTGAGCAGCGCTTTTTTGTGCGGCTACTGATAAAAACAGGATCGCCAACATGATTGCCAACGTCCGATAACGGATATGGCACAAGAAGAAGAAGAATCGTTAAAAGTTATAGGGCAATATAAAAATACTTGCCATGAAAATTTCAGAAAGTGCCCATAATTGCAGTGCCTCCGCTAAAAAGGCCTTTGTATTTCTTAATATCTGTCTGATCACATCTGAAAGGGATTCTGAGAAAACATTCTCCAAAAGAAGGTAGAGGTAGGAAAAGGCGATCCTTTTAAGTGATGGCCTTCTGAAAATTAAAAAAAAAAAAAGCATTTTTAATTGAGTCCAAAGTTGAACTGGGAACTGATGAAGGTAGAAAAAAAAACTGAGCAATCTTCTAGCCATCTTGAATACCAGCTCAGATTGTTTTGTACAGTAATTTTCAAAGGCAGTGCTGCATATAGCATGCTCCAGTCCAATGGAATGGGACAACTTGCCACAGCCAACCCATTGAAAATAATGTTGAAGAAACAGTGGCAGATAACATTTATCAGGTTGCGTTATCCTGTGTGGAATTCTCCATGGTGAGTTGTCCCGCGGCAAGTTGACCATGATGAGTTGGCTGTGGTGAGTTGTCCTAGACCCCCAGTCCAAGCAGACTTGGCAAAGCATGGATCACTGAAAGAAGAGAAACCACTACTGAGATAAATAATGTACGAAGAGGGCATTCTGCTTCAGATTCATGTGTTTCTATTAAAAGAGCACCCCCAAATGCTAATGGCACACACTTTTTGTAAGAATACATAGTTATTTCCAGCATTTGACTTCACTGACACTTCCACAGATACTCCTAGCTACCACTAAGGTTTTCACAGTCATTATCCATTCTGTGCTTCCATTATAGTTGAATGCTGTGGTAGATATGCCAGCTCTAAATATTTTCTGCTGAAATTGAGCTCAGATACTACCTCTTTCCTTTGAACACAGATGCTTTTAAAAATCTTGCTACATATTTCTGATTTTTAAAGCTGAAAGTATGCTAATATTTTTTTCCATCGCTCGGTGGCCATGTGCTTTGTTGCACTTCCACTTATTTTCTGTCTCACTGATTAGTGCTAGAGTCTAAGGTTGGAAATTTTTCAGGTATAGCAAAATGTATTAATTTATTATTAGCACCATTTCTAATTATTAGCAGCAATCTCTTTACTTTCACGAACTTTACTTTGCCAGTTTCCAAAACAACAATAAAATGATTGTCCCTTAGTGTAATCCCTAATTTTTGAGCGTCCAATCATGCTTAACCCCTCCACCCAAAGCAGTGTGGGGTGAAACAATACTGCAAAATAACAGCTGGAAAATGGCAAACCTGTGACAGATTAAATTCGTTTTGCTAAAATATTTTAAATGCTTCAACATGGTAATCCAGACATTATCGTGAAATGAATTTTTTGCCTCTTGAGTTATGAACCTTTGCAAATAAGGTTTTATAATAGGAAAACTGTCAGTGCCTTAATTATAGGATAATAAATAGCAATGCTGTATTAACTTCTGATTTTTTCCCCAAAAACATGCCTAGCTATTGTTAGAAACTGATAATCACATGCTATAGAACGTCTTGCATTTACAGTGCACCCTTTCTATATATGTGGATCTTGGAGAGATTCATGAGAAGATAGTTACAGCTCTGAAGGTGCCTTTGAGTCCCTAAACAAACCAGTTTTGCGCTTTACTGTGAAGAGAAAAATCAGTTCTACTATGAACTGTGAGTCAAAGGAAAGAAGAAGAAAAACCTCAAGTCTCTTTGATCTGCGGTTGAAAGGGAACCAAACTGAAGAATGGGTTAATTTAAGGAATGGAGATAACCGGAAGCAGAAATGTCACCTCAAAGCATTCATAATATGGCGGCTGCCATGGAATTTCAGTGAGGAGAATTGAACTCTGCTTACAAACTTTTGGCTTGTAGCAAGGCTGTGAAGAATGAGCAGCTGTCTAAGCCAACAATTTCTAAGCGAAGTTGGTGGATTAAAAATC